ACATCTAAAACTGTAAAAGTGAATCTTTGAAACTGAGGCTTCCAGCTGGATCCTCTGGATCCTTGGAACTCTACAGATAAGACTCAGTTGATCTGGATCTAGGAGTTTCCTCTGGATTTTCCCATAGATGCGGGGTCTTCCCCTAGCCACAAGCAGGGAGCTAAATGGGAAGTGGAGTTGCCACAACACAAACTGCTCTCCATATGCAATCCTAACACTTGGCCAGGCGAGGATTTAACTTAAACTCATCGCACCAGGTATGTGGCTAATAATTATTTCAGATGTTCTATATCACCACCATAATTACTAACAATTAAACACACATACAATCAGAGAAACAGGTATTTAGCCTTAGGTTAAAATGCCTCTGTCGGGTATCAGGAGGAACATTTCATGCCCGGTTTCCTGATGCCAGCCACCGCATGCACATGGTGAGCTGTTTCAGGGCTACATGGGTTCCAGGAGCTGTTCCTATTGGGGTGAGTACACTGACCCAGGGGGGAAGTCTCCGGGAGGTGGTGGTCCCGGGATGACCCACTGCTCTCATTGGGCAGTGAAAGGGACTGGGGAGGGGGCCTGGGGGTTTAAACTTCCAGTAGCCTTCTGGAGCGGGTGGGTCTCAAGACAGGGCATCTCATGCCTGGATCCCACACAACAGCCACCATGTGCAAGAGGTGAGTTGTCCCCAAGCGGCCAGTGCGCCATTTGGTGCCAGGCTCTGCCTGGGGGGTCCCTCAGCCAGGAGCTCTGGGGTTTTGGTTCTCTGAATCACTACTTAAGTAGCTCCAGGTCAAACCCACTGTGCTTCTGGTATGTGAGTCAATATTAAAGATTCCCATAACAGTAACTCTTCCTTTGAAGAATTTGTAATCACTGAATAATGCTGACCACTGAATACCAGTCCATGCAAAAGCTAAGGCTCAGGGCTTGTCCAGCAGGATATCTATTACTTGACATGATGATGGATAAGCTGACGGGTCACATTAGGCAGGGCCATGACAGTAACTAGCACAAGGGAACCATATCCGGGAGTAGATTCTATGAGAGATGTGTGGGCCACATCCTGTGGAAATTCTAGCCCCACTGGTTATCTCAAGAGTTGGGGTGGTGATGGACTAAGCTAGGTGTGACCAACGAGCCTGCCATGAATCACAAGTAAAGGAATCCCCAACAGTCTGGACTGGTCAGGGCACCAGCACCTGAATGTGTATCCTGTTTAGGGTGTGGGGAGGGCTGGGCTGCAACGTTCACCAGCTCATACAATTCCAAATGGAAGGCAAGATTATGCCAGGCACTGGCCTAAAACCCACTGGCATGTATGGGAAATGGGTTGGGGAGTTGGTCAAGAGGGGAAAGTTAGGAAACTCCCCTGGCAAGTCATAGCTCCCGCTGGTGAGTATGTACACCAGACCTGGTGGGCAGACAAGCTGGGCTAAGTAGCTCCAACACTGGCTAATGTGTGAATTGGCAATGGACCACGATGTACTGGGCAGGACGGGGCTAGCCTTGACATACAAGCGAAACTAAAGAACCAGGATGGAGCACAGGTCATGCCAAGCTAGGCTCTTGCACCTACTGGTCTGCGTGAGCCAGGGACGCTAAGCCACAGTGTCTAAGGCAGAAGCCAGGAGAGGTGAGGGGCTGTGACAAGCTGAGTCAGAGCAACCACTGGCATACGCATGATCTATGGCTGGGAAGAGGCCCAATGAGGAGCTAAGGGGACAACCCTAGCTGGGTTGAGGTTCCACCAAAGGGCGTGTGGCCTGAAATGGGGGCTGCATTCTGAACAGGAAATGGCTGTAGTCTCCCATGGCACAAGTGTGGACTGGGATTGGATGCACCGAACCGGGTCAGACTCCAACACCCTCTGGTGTCCTGGGGGACCGGGATAGATGTGGAATGGACCAGGCAAGGTGTCAACCCCTGCTGAGCCATGCGTGAGCCGTACGTGGGTATGGACAAGCCGTGGCTGGGCTGAAACATCCAACAGCAAGAACCAGTTTGGGTTGAAGGCCAGTCAGGAAAAGCCACAGTTCCTGCTATGACAGGAGGTGGACTGAGTAGGGCTGGCTCATGGACCCCCTGGTATGCCCGAAATCTGGCATTGGGAGAGGTTCTGATGGAGGATCCTGGGCAACTCCTCTGGCAGGACACAGACCCTGCAGGTGAGTGCAAAAAGCCTGATAGGAAACAGCCCAGAACAGGCCATGGGAAGTTACCCACTGGCATACATTTGGCATGGGCTGGGGGCAGACCAGGCTGAATCAGCTCACATCATCCACTGGCAAATCCGAGCACCAGAACAGAGTGTGGGTCGAGCCAGGTTCAGTTGCGACAAAAACCAGTGCACAATAAGGAATGCCAAGGTGAGGTTGCCTGTACTGGATATGACCATAGCGCCCAACCAGCAAGCATCAGAACCAGGAAGGGAGGGGGCGGAGCCGGCAGAGGAATAAGGGATGGTCCCCTTGCTGGAGAGTGTGAGCTGGGATGGGGACAGACCAGACAAAACAAGGCTACAACACGTGTGTGCCTCATATGGACTAGATCAGGGAAAAGCCAGGCTAGGCTGATTATTCCTCCTGGTGCAAACAAAATTAGAGTGGGTGAGGGTTGTTGGGATTTAGGCACGGCATCAGCTGGCAGAAGCTGGCACTGGGACCTAATTCTGTCAAGTCAAACCACAGAACTACCTGGAGAGAGCACAAGCCTGGAGTGAGAGGCCTGGGAGGGAAACAGTGGGTTCCTCCCTCCTGGATTACCACTTGCACGGGAGGGCACGAAAAGTAGGACAGGGGCTCGGGTGGCTAGACAGAGAGGCACTCAACAACATCTGTGAGGGCTGGATAGTTGAGCCTGGTTAGATGGAACTAGGCTTAAGTACCCATTGACATGTATGGGAGCCAAATGGATGTGGGACAGACTGGACTCGTCTGCTGCACATATGGCTAACCAGGGTAGGGGGCGGGCCTACTGGGGGGTTACCGTGGGTTGCTCCAACTAGGCTGCAGCCCCTACTGGCTTATGTGAGGGCCGAGTGTGTGCTGGGCAGAACCAGGCTGGACTGCAACCCCCATTGGCTCCAGTGAAGTCGGGGCTGCTAACAGAACCAGCCTAGTGATTGCAACCACCAGCTGATCAGGACGATGGACTGTGCCAGGCCCTGTACTTGCCAACACATATGAGAATCCAATCTGGGGACACCTCAGACAAAGTTTCTTTGGGGATCGAAATGCCAGACTCATAGCCCTAACCAAGAAAAGACAGAAGACAGAAAAGGTCCATCAACTACCTCAGCTATATGTTGGCAACAAAATACTAGACAAATGGAGACTATGATGGATTAAGTCATTGAGTGGATTCTTCAAAGACCTCATCGTGCTTGGAGTGGCAAGATTGGCAGCGATTCATAACTGATCAACTATCAAAACCATGTGAGCAAGAACCTCGGAGCATGCCCTGATCCAGGACCTGGTGTGGGTGGGAGACTGGGTGGGGCTTCTCCCTCAATATCCCCTTTACCTCACATACATGAAGGAAACAATATGGAAATAATAATCTTACCAACTTTCCTATAGCCCTTGAACCTTTTTACCCTAATTAACTATGTAAAGATTGTCAAGAATATAACAAGAAATGAAAAAAAAAAATGCCTGTATCCCACATTTGCAATTTGTGGCTCCAGTACTAGTTCCAGGTTCCTGCTGATGTGTACACTAGGAGCTTATTTGTCAAGCTCTAAGTAACTGGGTCTTTTACTTTCTTGTAGTATATTGGATTGTATCCATACTCCTGCCTAATCCTTCAAGTTGTGATCTTTTGGAGAATGAACCTTTCGATAGAATATTTGTGTCTCGTGTTTTTCTCTGTCTTTTAAATGAACTAAAAAAAAAAAAGCACAAGAAATTATCTCATATTCTTTAGGATAAATTATCAAAACAAATAACAAAAAGTGTTAAGAATATTTAGAAAAGTTGAGCTTATGCCCACTATTGGTAAAACAAACAAACAAACTAACTAAAAATAAATAAAACTCTCTTGTTTGATTCAGTGTATCTATTTCTTTTATTTTTAAAGATTTATTTTATTTTTTTCGCTAAGTCAGCTATACAGAGAGGAGAGACAGAGAGAAAGATCTTTCATCCATTGATTTATTCCCCAAGCAGCCGCAATGGTCAGAGCTGAGCCAATCCGAAGCTAAGAGCCCAGAGCCCCTTTGGGTCCCCCAAAGCTTTGGGCTAGTCCTTGATTGCTTTCCCAGGACACAAGCACGCAGCTGGATGGGAAGTGGAGCAGCAAGATTAGAACCAGCGTCCACATGGGATCCTGGGCATGCAAGGTGAGGATGTTAGCCACTAGGTTACCATGATAGGCCCCAGAATATCTATTTCTAAGTGTATACACAAAATAATTAAACTAGGAATCAGAAATGTATGTTTTAGTAATGTTCACACCAACAAGATTCTTAATAGCAAACATGTAGAAGTAATTCAAGCAGTTATCAACAGATTATGTAACAAAAGAAAATAAATACAATTGTAAGACAGTCACTCTTAAAAATCAATCATTTTGTGACACTGTAAATATAGCTAAACCACTAAGCATTATACTAATCTACAACAAACCAAACACAAAAAAACAAATTTGCACTATTTCATTTATATATAGTACTTAAAATAAGAAACTTCACAGTTACATAATGGTCACCAGGGCTTGAAAAGTGAGGAGAAACACGTTAACTAAAATTGTGAGCAATATGAAGCAATCATGATAGCACAATATTGGAAATGCACTTATGCTACTAAATTGTTAACTTAAAAAAAACATTAAATGACTAATTTTTTGTGGATGCAGTTATGTGTTTTACCACAGCAACAAAAGTAAGAAAAATATCAAATCTGCATTTTGGCAAAGACCAAAATAAATTTACATTAAATAGAACACATGAAATAAAAAATATCCTGAAATATCCAAGTATTGCATATATAAAAATTACTCACTTGCTGGAACAGTGCAATAGCAAGTCAATGACAAAGGTTTTCCAGCCCCTTTCTTTACTAAATGCATCTAACGCTGTTGGAATTAAAGCAAAACACAATGTCATCACTTCCAAGGCTTCACAGCAAATCTGTTCATCCTCTCTCTTCAGCTTATGGTGTGCAATAAGGTTCTGTAAAAATTATAATAAGATGTAAATTAACCATAGATAAATCATGAAAAATGTTAATTTTCCAGTTAAGTTTTAAAAATAGCTGCTCTCATATGGCCTCAGATATTTCAAATTACTGCTGTGTAAGGCCTTTACATTACATACAGTTGAGACTAAAAGAGTATACTAGACAAAAATCCAGTATCCTTCATTTTCTTAGTTTTCTGGATATGAATGAAGATGATGGCAACCAAAAGTTTTGTGAAACAGTATGTACAGTTTGCTAACTTTTTTCATGTGGACATTTTGAAATCCATGCAATTTTTCTTAAATAAAAAGTTCATTTTACTTACTTAAAAGTCAGAAAGAAATACCCACAACAGCTGCAGATGGCTCATGACAAAGCTGGGAGCTACTACTACTTTCCAGGATGTGCAGGCTATGGCTAAAATTTATGACTTAAGAACTGTAACATTAACCGTACTGACTCAATTCCATTGTTTTTCATAATATGCAGGTTTCATAAATTTTTACTTGATTTTTATCTAAGTCAAGTCAGGGTTAGGAAAGAGGAATGATGGGAACAGAGACATAGGGACATAAACAAGAGAAAGAGAGAAATATATTCCATCTGATTCATTTTGTGAACTGATTTCAAAATTTGTTCTACCCAAAAAATCTTTTCTAATTCCATCATCAACAAGCCTTTTTTTTGTAACATACTTGGCTATTTTTTCAGTTTCTCTCTCCAAAGAATTACGATTATAGGCAACCTATCTAGAACACCATTACATTTATTTATTTAAAAAATTTTTCATTGTCATTTTTTTCTATACCATTACATTTAAAAGGTAACCTCCTCACACCAATGTTTATGAAGGATTTACAATCTGATCTGCTCAAAGAGATTACTTAGAACAATTAAGACCCTCTTCATATCAAAATGTAAACAATACATATAACACAGAACTTCAAAACATTTATGACAAATAAGTTAAAGATATTTACTTCATATAAACATTTAAAATTCATGTAGAGAAGAAGTATGCCCTCGAAAGATAAGCAATCTCAAATTTCTACCTATATGAAGAAGCTATTAATGGCAGGTAAATCATAAAGAATCTAAAAGTCAAACAATTTTATTTCTTAAATTAACTTGCTTGGTGTAATATCTGTATAGTGAATGCTCTTTCTACAGTAAATGCAGTGACTTGAAAACAGATATTTGGAAAAATTAATATGTCACTTAAGAAAAAAGAAGACTCACACTTCAGGATCATGAAACATGTATTTCAACAAAAGCAGGTTTCAATTTTATCTAAGGTGGTCTTGACCATATGGCAAACATAATCAAAATATAGTCATATCCAGAATTAGGCAATACTTGTTTAAAAGAAATATATTTTATCATAATTCTTACCATCTGATAATTATTAGTGATTTCTTCATTTGGGCTAAATACTAGCTCTAATGCCCCACATCCTGAAGCCCAGGTAATTTTCTTTATGGCTCTAATTACACAAATATCAGGCATGTATCCTGAGGCCTGCAAAAAAAAAAGTTTGTTAAGAGCGGTAAAAAAGAGTGAAGTGAAATACAAAAACAAAACATGGAAGAAATGGCTGTGACTGTGACTATACAAAAAATGTACGAACAGCCTTTGGTCCCATAATATTTTGCATTTTAACATTAAGTCATATATAAATTGCTAAAGGTAAGAACAGTCAGTAGCATAAACTGAACATGTATATATGAAAACATTTTGGGCTGATAGAAATCTTTATTTGGCAGTCTAACATCCACCAAAATTTAATATAACTTATACAAACTAGAATTTAAAGTTTGTTAAATAATTTGTTAAGTAATGTCTAAATAAGTAATTGCAACAATTAGATATAATTATATCATACATAAATATATGTTTATATGTATTTACATAAACTACATGTAAATCATGAAATTAAAGTTGTTGAAGTATACTTATAAGTAATGCCTAAGTAGTAATTGCAACTAAATAAAACATAATTGAGGTATATATTTATAAATAATACATATTTATAATTTATTACAGACACTAGACAAAAATCATATAATTAATAACACAAACTATAAGCATAATGTATACCACCAAAGCATTAATATAAGTACCTGAATTACCACACGTCACAAAAGTGTATCACATACCAACTTATTAATTCTATTTTACATAATTATATCAAGTCATGCATTACATTTAACATAAAATCATATATTAATTTGTTGTCAACATAGATTCATATATAAATATACCAACATTTATCAATGACAAACATGGTAATTTGTAGCAATGTTTTATATACTGAGTTACTAGGTGTATATTATAATATTTTTACATTTAAATATAATCATAAACGAGCAAAGATTTCTTTGAATCACAAAATATTTTGCTTGCCTCAAATTAAGGTGTATTTATTGTTGGCCAATTAGAAATGATCCAGAATACTAGTGTGCTTTAAAAGATTTAACTAACCTCATAAGATATTTGCTGAGCAAGACGTACTGATACATTTCTGAGCATGCTATCAGCAGAAGGATTAGGAATGATCTGAAGGGCACTATGCAGCACCACTGCCTGACCATGAGTAACTTGATTAATCTGAAACAAATTGATAATTATATTTCAAACAAAATATTTTTTGTAACTAAATTTCAACAAAGTGCACATAGAAACTATATTTCAGAAACTATTGCTTTCTTAAGCTATTTATGTTTTAAAAACTAAGGTAGTCTTCATAAAAAAGCAGTTCAGACTGTTAACACTAGGCGTTTTAATTGTATTTCAGAAGCAAAATACCTCTGCAAACTATCATTTTCAGATGATTTCTGCATTACTTCTAAGCCTGTGTTTACTGTTCCCAATTGGGGACAATTCACACAACTTTGGAGAAACTTTCTACATGTCTTGTGCACAGCCCTTCCTTTAAAAAATATTTACCTACCATGATACAATAAAGAAAATGCAGATAACAGATAAACAGGCTTTCAATTTTTTCTCTTAAACCTATATTCATGACTTAATTTTTGCTTTCTTGTTTAGTCTTAAAAATGTTCCTTGTTTCATTCAAGGCTACCTTTGTGCCTTGTAAGCTCCAAAATATGCTTAGGTGTTTTACAACCTAGGTCACTCATTATCCCATCTACATCTTTTTTAGTGAACCTTTTACAAGTATTCTAATAGTGATTTAAGGAGTGAACAAAATGGGAGGGGGGCGGATTTATGGCAACCATCAACTGTGAAAACCCAAAGTCAATACATGTCTACTTTTTCAACCTCCTTTCCTGATCTCAAAGAGGTTAAACATTTTATCTTTTACGTTATCATAAACATTTATCAATCACATTAATTATTTTACACCTTCAATATGTATTTGAGGATGTATTTACTAAAACTACATATCACCTCATATAGGGGGCCATGGTGGCAACAGTATGAAGCTTACCATTTAAGGTAAATATTTTAGCATACTTATATTTTCATAGTTATTTCATAGTTCAAGTTATTTTGTAGCATTAGGTCTTACTTTTCACTCACAAGCTAGGAAATGAGATGGAAGAAATATGACTAGTGAGTTATTAGATGAGATTGTATGATGGCGGCACAATTAGATGAGATTGTATGATGGCGGCACACAAGAGTTAAATATATATTTTGGCCATGATCCTCTACTAAATGAAATCACAAGAGACATAATTAAATAAACTTGAAACTAATAGTGCATTTGTAATAACATATGACCTACAGCAGAATCCCAATTATCTGCTGAATGAGAAACATTTTGTGTAAATATTTTAAAACAATGAATTTTTATTACTTGTGGGATTACTGTTTTGCCTCTCTTGTTCTTACACTGAAACTCTCTCGTTAAGGTTAACACTAAAAATAGTATCTCCAATTCTTTCAATGAATTGAGATGATGGATTAAGAATGTTCTGAAGCACAAAAATAACTTTTTTATATAGTGCTTAAGAATCAAAATCTATCCATACAAAATACTCTCCTATTCTAAAGTCTCCATAAAACTGTATTAAAACTGTAAGTGTGCAAAAAATTCTTTGAGGTTCTACTAAACAGCACTTACATACTGCAAATATGTAATATTTACTATTATATAGCAGGTAAATATGACTCAGGACAGGGAAAGAGCTACAGATTCCTATTCTTAATTTTTTAAAGAAAATTTCAGAACTATACGAAGAGATGAGAATATTACAAACTGGAAATTTCCTAATATCTAGTTTCATTTAAAAAGACAAATCTGTTTCACCATTTAGCCACTTCTGCCTATTAAAATTCCAGAACTATTGTCATGCAAAGAGCACATGTCACACTTACTCTTCAACAAAAACAATAGTGTTTTCACAATTAAATAAAGCTAATAATTCTAAAATATCAAAGCACTAGTAGATATATCATTTGTGACAACATCTTTCAGCAATTATGCCGTCATTGATAACATAAATGAATGAACTCAAGGACTGCATTTAACGTTAGACTCACATTCATCAGATCTAACAATGTTAAACAGAGAGACAGAGAAAGAGAATGGCAACAAAATTCCAATTGAAAATTTCCTACAAAATGATTCATAACTTTTACATAGAATTAGTAAAACATTCAGGAGAAATTTTCACAATTTTTTTTTTTTTACGATTTATTTATCTTTATTGGAAAGGCAGAGTGAAGGTGAGACAGCCAGACAACTCCCCAGTTGGTTGCAATGGCTAGAACTGAGTCAATTAGAAGCCACGATCCAGGAACTTCTTCCGGGTCTCCCACACGGGTGCAGGGTCCCAAGGCTTTGGACCGTCCTCGACTGCTTTCTCAGGTCACAAGCAGGGAGCTGGATGGGAAGTAGAGCAGCTAGGACAAAAAACTGGCAGTCCTATAGGATTCCAGCAAATGCAAGGTGAGCACTTTACTCACTAGGCTACTGTGATGGGCACAATATTTCATAATTTTAAAAATGGAAAATAATGATTGTAAACAGGTGAAGACTTCTTCACAAATCAATGTAATGAACAGCAACATTTATACTTTCAGTAAAATTTTACTTAAAAAGAAATTTCCTGGTCAATATGCTATACCATAAAATGACTTTTTAAATTTGAGGCAGTCACAGAGAGCTCGCATTTGCTGATCTATGGGCCAAATGTTCCAAATTCCAAGGAAGCAAATTAGCAAATACTAGCAGAGCTCAAATCAAGCCCGCTACAAGTGGCAGAAACCACACTACTGGGAGTTATCATTGTTGCCTTACAGGACAATAATAATAAGAAGCTAAAATCAGGAGGTAACGTTGTGAGTTAAAACTAAACTTATCTTAAACTGCTGAAGTTCTAAGCACTAAATGCACTGGTTTAAGTTCCAGCTGTTTTACTTTCATCCAACTCTTTGCCTGTGTGGCCTGGGAAAGTAGCATAAACTGGCCCAAAGCCTTATAGATCCTGTACCAGGCCAAAGAGCCAGAGGAAGCCTCTGGTTCCTAGATTTAGACAGATGAAACTCCAGCCACTGCAGCCATTTAGAGTGAAAAACTGGATGAATAATATGTCTCTTCTTGCCTATAATTGCCTTTCCAATTCTAAAATCTTATAAATTAAATAAATAAAAATAGAATTAAATCTTTCAAAACAACTTATAGGTATTACCTTTGTTACAGGATCTGTACCATCGAGCACTGACTGACAAGCTTCTGCCACAGCACGAACATGGCCATAACCAATAGCAGTTAGTAACAATTTTGCGATTTTAAGAGCATTAAAGTATATGCCCCTTTGAGTTTCTGTATCTATATTTGGTAAAAAGTTATTTTTTATTAGCATACTCAATACAAGGGACAAGCCACCACTTTTCAGGAAATGGAATTGAAACTCTAAGGAATTGTCAGCCAGAGATGTATCAGCAGGCATCAACAACACATAGATTACCTAAAAAAAAAGAGAGAAAACAGTGTAATTGAAGATAATCATTTCTTGCGATTCCTATTTCATGTCTCAGAAATGTTAAGAAAATTTTCAATGTTTCAAAACATTCCTTAAAAACATACATAGGTTTTAAACACAGTAAAATAAAAATTTTTTTCAAAGAAATAATAAAAAAACAAACAAACCTTTGTTAGGTATAGAACTTGCGAGGCAGAAGAACCAAAGAAAAGTGATTCAAGAGATAGATCACAATTACTTTTTTCAAGTTTTGACTGTCCCACACATATCATTCTTAACTTTTCTATAGTTGTGTTATCTGAAAAGGAAAAACACAGACTAAAGTAAAATAGGATTAATATGCTCTTAATAAATCCTTTTAAAAGTATTTATTTCTATTTTAAAGGTGAGGTTACAGACAGGAGACACAGTAAAAGGGAAAGGGAGAAAAAAGAGATCTTCCATCTGTGGGTTTACCCTTCAAATGGACACAACAGTGAGCCGAGTAAACCTAAGGCCAGGAGTCAAAAGTTCCTGTACATAAGTGCAGGTGCACAAAAACGTGAGTCATCCTCCTCTACTTTACCAGGCAGTAAGCATAAAGCTGGGTAAGAAGTTTAACAGCCAGGACAATAATCTGTGCCCATATGGGTGGGATATAAGTGTCACTGGTGGAAGCTTAGACTATCAGGCTACGGTGCTGGTACCATTCTTAGTATTTCAAATGATATTACAAAGAGGATTATTCTAAGAGTAAAATAACATCAATAAATATCAAGGGCCTATTAAGATCAAATAGTACATGACAAAAAGAACTGGTTAATGACCAATGCAAAATATGAGGATATAATTTCATATTCAGAGATCTAAAATGCACATCCATTGTCATCTTTCATGGACAGAAGAAAAAGCATAATCCTGAGAAATGAATTGATGTTAACTAATAAGCCATCTATCATTTCCTGTACATATTCAAGAGAGAACAACTCCATGCCAAAATTACAGAGATTTTCACAGCAATATAAGGTAACAACATTGCAAGGAGAATAAAGCCTACATGTTCATCAATTGATTAAAAGAAAAAACAAACTGTGTTAACTAATGATGAAATACTATTTTGCTTTTTTTTTTTTTTAAAGATTTATTTTTATTATTTTTTTATTGGAAAGGCTGATATACAGAGAGGAGAGACAGAGAGGAAGATCTTCCATCCGATGATTCACTCCCCAAGTGAGCGCAACGGGCCGATACTATGCCGATCCGAAGCCAGAAGCCAGGAGCCTCTTCCAGGTCTCCCACACAGGTGCAGGGTCCCAAAGCTTTGGGCCGTCCTGGACTGCTTTCCCAGGCCACAAGCAGGGAGCTGGAAGGGAAGCGGGGCTGCCGGGATTAGAACCGGCGCCCATATGGGATCCCGGGGCGTGCAAGGGGAGGACCTTTAACCACTTGCGCCACTGCGCCGGGCCCTATTTTGCTTTTTAAAAGGAAAAAAATTCTGCCATATTCTACAGCATGGATGTATCCTGGGGAACATTTTACAAGTGAAAATGAGCAACTCACAAAACGCAGAAGAGTACATGATTTCTTTCACATAAAGCTATGTAAAGGAATCAAATTCAGACACAGAAAGAACAAATATAGTCACCCCACCTAGAAAAAGAAACAGGACCAGTTGTTTAGACTTTCAGTTTTGAAATGAGGAAAAAACTCAGGAGATAAGCTATAAAACAGTTTTGGATGTACCTACCACTTTTACCTGTACATCTAATTTTTTTAAAGGTTCATTTTTAATTTTTATTGCAAAGTCAGATATACACAGATAAGGAAAGAAAGAGAGAAAGATCCTCTGCCTGATGACTCATTCCCTAAGTGACCATAATGGCTGGAGCTGTGCCGATCTGAAGCCACGAGCCAGGAGCCAGGAACCTCTTCGGGGTCTCCCACACAGGTGCAGGGTCCCAAGCCTTTGGGCCGTCCTCGACTGCTTTCCAGGCCACAGGCAGGGAGCTGGATGGGAAGTGGAGCAGCTGGGATTAGAACCGATGACCATCTGGGATCCCTGCGCATTCAAGGCGAGGACTTCAGCTGCTAGGCCACTGCTCCAGGCCCAAGGTAACAAAATGTTAAAAGACACACATCTCAACGATTTTGCAAACATCAGAAATATTACAGTGACACAATAAACACTACAATACTAACAATTCTGAGTAAAGGCAATATTCCTGTTTTACAGCCATTTCTAACATTTGCATATTACTACCTTTCAAAAGAGCATCTAGCTTGGGGTATGCCTTTCAGAGGAGGCCAAATAAATAAACAGGAAGATAACTTGGCAGAGGAGTGAGTGGTAGCACAATCCAGAAACTAATAACTATAGAGTTTATCAAGTATGTAAACACAGTTCAGGATAATACACACACAGCTTCCATGTTAATGGAGAAGGGAATTTCAAATGACGGATGAAAACAAAAATAAGTCTGTAAAAAAGCAGATTGCAGGGTCTGTCACAGTAGCCTAGTAGCTAACATCCTTGCCTGGAATACACTAGGATTTCATGTGGTGTGTGCCCTAGCAGCCCCATTTCCCATCCAGATCCCTACTTGTGCACTGGGAAAGCAGCTGAGGATGGCCAAAAGTTTTTGGACCCTGCACCTGTGTGGAAGACCCAGACGAGGCTCCCGGTTTTGGCTCAGGTCAGCACTGACTACTGCGGCCGATTGGGGAGTGAACCAGTGTACAGAAGATCTTTCTCTCTGTCTCTCTTTCACTCTGTAAATCTGACTTTTCAATAAAAATAAACATATGTATTAAAAAAAGTGGATTACAACCAGAGATTTTCATGTGATTTGAACTTTTAAAAGGATGAATTTTCATGGATAAGTTAATATTAGTTCTAGTACGTGTGTCTACGATCAAATTCCTGCTTTCATCATGAGACAGTAGAACCAACACACCTAAAACAACTTATTCATTGGAACTCATATCCTGAACTTCTACACTATTTTAAAGTAAAAGAAACAGAGCATGGGAAGATGTCAAATTCAGAGTTGGGTTAGAAAATTGGTTCATGGTGTCTCTCTCTCCCTCCGCTTTCGAGAGGCAGCCTGCCTCCTTGCTTTCTCTCTGGAGGTGCTTTGCCTTTCCTCTCCCTTCCCTGTTCACCTGGTCGCCGTGCACATAAACGTTTCTGTCCGCAACAGGGAAAAGGAAAGAAGGGAGCAGGGAGGGAGAGAGGGAGGGAGGGAGGGATGAAGGAAGAAAGGGAGGGATGAAGGGATGAAAGGACGGAGGAAGGGAGGGTGGAAGGAAAGAAGGGAGAGAGGGAGGGAGAGATGAAAGAAAGCAGGGAGGGAGGATGCAAGAATAGAAGGGAGGGAAGGAGGGAGGGAGGGAGAAAGGAATGGAGGAAGGGAGGGAGCGAGGGATGGAGGAAGGGAGGGAGGGAGAAAGGGAGGGAGGGATGAAGGGGTGAAGGGAGGGAACGATGGAGGGATGAAGGAAGAAACGGAGGGAGGGAGGGAAGGAGGGAAAGGACAGAGGGAGAGAGGGAGGGATGCAGGGATGAAAGGAGGGAGGGAAGGAAGATGGCATGGAGGAAGGGAGGGAGGTAAAGAGGGAAGGATAGAGGGAGAGAAGAAGGGAAGAAGGGATGAATGGAGGGAGGGATGGAGGCAGTGAGGGAGCGAGGAAGGGAGGAAAGGAGGGAGGAATGAAGGGAGGAAAGAAGAAAGGGAGGGAGGGAGGAAGGGAGGGAGGGATGGAGGGAGAGAGGAAGGAAGGAAAGGACAGAGGGAGAGAGGGAGGGATGCAGGGATGAAAGGAGGGATGGAGGGAGGGAGGATGGAGGGATGAAGAAAGGAAGGAAGGAAGAAAACTTGTTCATCACTGACATATAATTAAACCCATTTAATGTTCTGTGAGTGATCATATTTTATTCTAATACCGAGGAAACAGGCTAAGAGTATTACTTTTTTTTTTAAAGTTTGCTAGAAAAGTTGCAACGTAATAGGTACACAGGGAATACAATAGCCAAAAAAAAAAAAAAAAGACAAGTGTTTGTAATTTGACATAATGGCTAAGACTCTATTTGGGATATCCACTCTGCATAATAGAGAATCTGGGTTCAAAGCCCACCTCTGTTCTCAATTTACCATCCCTGTTAATGTGTAACGCTGGAGTCAGTGAAAGTATAAATAAGTGGTCCCCTGGCTCCCGGATGATGCGTTCTGACTGTTGGTACCACTTGAGAGGTGCTTTGTCTGCTCTAACTCTGTGTTTCTGACTTTCAAATAAGTAAAAAACAAAACAGAACAAAACAAAAAATACTCATTAAAAAAGGCATCAGTACAGAAAAAATGTCAAAGAAAGGGAGAAACAAAGGAAAAGATATTTCACCTACTGATTTACATTCTAAATGTCTGCAAGGGCTAATGGTGTGCCAGGCCAAAGAGAGAGCACAGTAACTCCATTCAGGTTTTTAGAAGAGCAGCAGGGTTCCAGGGACATGATTTTATTATGCTTCTTTTCTGGTTGCATTTGTAGGCATATGGATTGCAAATGCTGTAGCCAAACTTGAATTGGCAAAAAATTGGGACACTGAAATTCTAAGCTGTAGCTTAACTCATTGTATCATATTAATTCCACTTACATTATTTATTGACAGGTATATAACATAATTTACTTGTGCCTAGTTTGTATCAGCAAGAAGCTGTTCATTTAAGTAATCTTTGGTGTTTTGAATCTTGGTTTCAATCAGAATCTAGGTTTCTCCAGATACATGATTATTACCTCACAGAGAAATTAAGCATCCAGCAGCACTAAAGTTTTGTTGTAATTTAATAAGCTTCTGATCAACAATGAAAAATTTCAGAAATAAGAACAACAGTTCTGTTGTGATCAAATGCTGATTTTACTTGGAATTTATCTTTTGTAACAAGTTTTATAATATTTCTTCATAAATTTCATCTTTAGTTATGACTATTAAAGCTAACAGGAAAGGACACTGCCAGATGTGGCAGCATGGGTCACTTCCATTACTGACTTCCGTGCAAGGATTAAGAACATAACCAGAAGTACAAGAAAGACAACACAGTTGGCTCCTCTAATTCAATAGAAGACTTCAGGTACTTCATCAAAAAGTGGAGGGAAGAAAAAAAGTGGAATGAACAACACTTGAGGCCAACTTCCATAGCAACCCCCAAGTCTGTGAATATTCTGAGAAATGTTGGACAGCCAACAAACCTAACAAGCAATTTCTTGTCTCTGGTACAATGCTGTCAACAACTTCTCAGAACACTCTTTCCTAAAACAGGGTCCTTA